ATGAGAAGCTGAATATGAGTCAACAGTGTGCCCTTGTAGCCAAGAAGGCTAATGGCATATTAGGGTGCATTAGGAGGAGCATTACCAGCAGATCCAGAGAAGTTGTTATTCCCCTTTATTTGGCATTGGTGAGGCCACATCTGGAGTATTGTGTCCAGTTCTGGGTCCCCCACCATAGAAACCTATGCAGCACTATGAAGATGGTTTATTAGGTGATGAGCTTTCGTGGGCCAGACCCACTTCCTCAGATCATAGTCCTGTTTTTTGTTTCAGCTAGACCAGACTAACCCGGCTACATATCTATTACTATTCCACTATAGAAAGGATGTGGACGCATTGGAGAGGGTCCAGTGGAGGGCAATCAAAATGCTGAGGGGGCTGGAGCACATGACCTATGAGGAGAGGCTGAGGGATTTGGGCTTCTTAGTCTGTGTGTGGGGGGGCAGGGGGTAGGATTTGATAGCAGCCTATAACTCATAGACTTTAAGGTCAGAAGGTACCATTATGATCATCTAGTCTGACCCCCTGCACAGTGCAGGCCACAAAATCTCACTCACCCCTCCTAGAATAATCCTCTCACCTATATCTCAGATTTTGAAGCCTTCAAATACTTTGAAGACCCCAAGATGCAGAGAATCCTCTAGCTGTGATCTGTACCCCATGCTACAGAGGAAGGCGAAAAACCTCCAGGGTCTCTGCCAATCTACCCTGGAGGAAAATTCCCTCATCAGCTAGACACCCAGAAAGTTCCCTGTAGTAACTCCTATCATCCTATCATCCCTCCCTGAAGGGAGGTTCCAAAGAGGGTGGAGAGAGGCTGTTCACAGGAGTGACGGATGGCAGAACAAGGAGCAATGGTCTCAAGTTACAGTTGGAGAGGTCCAGGTTGGATATTAGGAAAATCTATTTCCCTAGGAGGGTGGTGAAGCACTGGAATGGGTTCCCTAGGGAGGTGGTGAAATCTCCATCCCTAGAGGTTTTTAAGCCCTGGCTTGACAAAGCCCTGGCTGGGATGATTTACAGGCAGTCCCCGGGTTATGTACAAGATAGGGACTGTAGGTTTGTTCTTAAGTTGAATTTGTATGTAAGTCGGAACTGGTACATATTGTAGGGGAAACTCTAGTCAAACATTTCTCCAGAGCTCAGTTTTATTCTCCCACACCTCACTTCCCTCAGTCCTTTATTCTCAAGCTGAGGTGTCTGCTGAGAAAAGCCGCTCCGCGTCTCCCTGGTCTGCTGGGG